GTTAAGATCTCTGAGTGAAAATTGAGCATTAGTTGAGAATCACTTATTGAAGCCACTATCAATTCGCTTCAAAGTTAAATTTGGATATATTCTATATAATCATAAATCATGTCTCAATCACTTGTTGTATTTGAGCCATCAGGTAAAATTAATTACCTGTACAATAATAAAATTAGTGGCTTTAACGAACATATTGCAAGTATCGTCAATGAGACGTACAATGAATTAGAAACAAATTTTTTCACCACAAGCTCTAATCAAAAAAGATTCTACAGTTATAAGAGAGATGGAAGATATGCATCGCTATATTTTGACATTGTTACCACTTTGGATAGTGAAAAGATCAAACAGACGTTGATAGGGATCTTAAAAACGTATACTAAGATCACCGAAGAACACGACGAAGACGATGAAGAAACAGAAGAAAAAGTCAAGAAGTTAATAGATTTTCAGTTTAACCAGTTGATGAAATACAAACAGACTGAAAAACCTGTGGTAAAGGGCATTGAAACACCATTATCTACCGTATCTAGTAATAATAGTGGTACGAGCACCCCAAATAAGCAGAAAACGGGAGCCAGCGCCAAAAAGATGAGAAAATGGGATGGAGATCAGATGGTTGAAAGTAGCGGAAACTCCGAGGGCTTAGACTTTTCTAATAAGAATGAGTCCAGTAGTGACTATACTAGGATTGATAATGACCAGCTTAAAGTTGACCCTACGGCATTTAGCAAAAATAATGATTTGGTTCTAGTACAGGAATTGAATGATATTTTGGGTGAAGACGATGATGAAGAGGAAGAAGAATCCACCAACACTAAATCAGGGGGGTTTTTTGGAAAGGTTACTTCTTACTTTGGTTCATCGATTAATATAGATGAAGTTTCAAAGAAATTCTATGATCAGTTAATAACAAAAAATATTGCTCCGCCGACTGCTAAAACAATACTTGACAAGATCAAAAACAAGCTTGCTAACAAGCAGGGAGTTACAATTGCCATGTACAAGCAAACTATGGTTGAAGAATTGACCAAGATTTTGACACCTAATGTCTCTACAGACTTATTGTATGAGATCAAGGACCGTTCTGAATCAAAAAAACCATACGTTATATCAGTTGTTGGTGTCAATGGTGTTGGGAAGTCTACCAATTTGGCCAAGTTAGCGTACTGGTTCTTGCAAAATAATTTGAATGTTTTGATCTGTGCCTGTGATACGTTTAGGTCTGGAGCTGTCGAACAATTGAAAGTTCATGTCAATAATCTACAAAAATTGAATAATTCCTCATCATCCGAGTCCAAAATCGATATTTTTGAAAAGGGTTACGGTGGTGGTGACCATGTTGTTGCAACTGCTAGGCTGGCAATTCAGCACGCATCTAACGAACACTATGATATAGTATTAATAGATACGGCTGGTAGGACCCACTCCAATGCTAAGTTAATGACTCCATTAAAAAAATTCGGTAATGCAGCTAACCCAGATAAAATTATCATGGTGGGTGAAGCTTTGGTTGGTACTGACTCAGTTGAGCAAGCAATAAATTTCAATAATGCATTCGGTAACAGGCGTAACTTAGACTTCTTCATTATATCAAAGGTTGATACCGTTGGTGATTTGGTAGGAACTATGATTAATATGGTTATGGCTACAAAGGTACCAATCTTGTTTGTAGGTACTGGTCAAACTTATACTGACATTAAGAGGTTAAGTGTTAAAACCGTAGTAGATATGTTGATGAATTAACATTATATTACCCCTGCTCATTTGTTTGTTCCTTATTTGGAACCTAATTTAGCATATATATAGCGCTGTATCTATTGTCAATACAAGGCTTATAATTACTAGTAAATTTTGTTAGCGAATAAATGCGACAATGCGACAACTCTTGACAGCGTTTCTCCAATACAATCTATAACAGATCAAAAATTGATAGTCTTTAATTTAAGACAGCTGGTTGTATATCATTTCAATGCTAAGCAAAATTTTAACATAGTATATTGTCATAATAAATTAAGAGATTGACTTATTTATCGAAATGAGACTTCGTTCTAAGAGAAAGGATTCAAACTCATCAGGTACACATGTTATTCAGGAAGGAACAAATTATAACTTATATTTTAAAATAAATGCTAACAGAGCAGCAGATTTGGTACAGAAGGCTGATACAGAAAGTGTGAATGAGTCCGGAACTGCTACATCTTCAACAACATCTAGTAGAAAAAATGTAAACCCAGTTTTAGTGGCTGTACTTAATAATGTGAAGAAGAAAACGAAAAGAAGAGTTAACACTAGTCAGCCATCATGGGATGCAACATTACAGTTTCCACTAAAGATGAGGGATTATTCTCAGGTATTTAGTTTGACTGTATGGGATAAACATAAAAGATACAAAAACTACCTTGGGGAGTTGAGATTGAACTTGAACGACATTTTCTTCAAAGATGGGAAGTTTCAGTCAAAGTCTGATCTTAAGTGGTACAACCTATACTCCAATAAAGAGTACCATAGTTTTGTTACCGGTTCATTGTTATTATCGTTCGAATTGGAATTAAAAAAGCGGAAACAAAGAAAGTCGAAAAAGACGAAGGAGCAGGTACAAACCCCTTCGCAAACGCCAAATCCTGAGACTACTCCTGAGCTCGAGACATTAAATGTTGATAGTAGTTCTCCTGGAATTGTTGTCAACGTAGTGCCCCCTTCCAGAAAAGCAAGTGGAAATTTACATAAAAAGGTAGACTCCCTAAGTCTTTCGGATACCGAAACAGGGATACCAATAACAGTAGAAGAAAATAAAGAAAAACATTTCTTAGAGTGGAAGAGACTGTTGATATATTCTGATCCTGATTCAAGTGTTACAAAACCTGATGAGCAAGGTTTTTATTCTGATACCGGGGAAGTGCTTAGTTTACTGGCAGACTTGTCTGATATTGAATCGATCAGCTCTGCTGCTGTATCAAATCCAGATGCCAGAGAATCGGCTGATCTGCAACACAGTCCTGTTTCATCGTTGCGAAATCAAAAGTTCTTGACTGTAGGAGCAGACGACCTTAGTTCAATGTCTGATGGCTCTATATTCTCGAGTGATAGTGCTATGAATTATGAAAGTGATGCATTATCAAATGATAATGCCGCCAAAGGGATCCTGAATTTAGGGAGCGAATTATCGAAATCAAAAAGAAGTTTCGGTTTCAAAAGGTTAAAAAAGAAGAAAGAAAAGGAGCAATTCAATTTAAGCAAGAGAGCTGTCCTAGGTGTTTTATTTCTTGAAATTGTGTCTTGTTCCGATTTACCTCCTAACAAGAGCTTTAATCGTGCAACTTTTGACATGGATCCATTTGTCGTAGTAACATTTGGGAAGAAAACCTTCAGAAGTAGTTGGAAACGTCATACATTGAATCCAATATTTAATGAAAGATTAGCATTTGAAATCTTGCCACATGAGAGTAATTTTAACATTCAATTTTTTGTTCTTGATAAAGATCAATTTTCCTACAATGATAATGTTGCCAATCTCTCTTTAAGGATGAAGGATATTACTAACATGGCTACAGCACCTCCCGCTACAGCATATGAAAACAAACATCTGTCTCCTTCTTCATTTTCTTTATTGCCCAATGCCCTGGATGCAGCCCTATCTACAGGAGAGAATGATTCCCAAAATTCAAGCATTAGAATACTTGATGACGACAATATGGTACATTCTGTTAGAAAGAAAAAATTCACTAACAGAAAAAAAGTTACTGTTCTGCATGCAGACACTTCAAGATTTAAGACTATGAACTTAACATTAGATCTACATAAATCGAAGAACTTAGGAAAGTACAATCCTACATTGAAGATACGAGTTAGATTTGAGCCATATGAAAGCTTGAGAAGACAATTATGGGGGATTTTATTAGAACAATATGAATTGAATGAAACTGAAGATAAATATGACTTTATCGAGTTAATTTCATTTTTGGATACATTAGGCTGCGAAAATAGTGATCAGATCGTAAGCAAATTTTTTGATAAGTATAAGAGACTGGCTTGGGGAGGCGATTTATTATCAATCAGTGAAATTATTGATGCTCTTGAGGATCATGTTAATTTTTCTACCGGGATTGATGATAAACTCTTTGATATTGAAAAATGTCCATTGTGTTGCCAGAAACGATTATCTAAAAAGCAAGACTGTGATATAATTACGCATGTAGCAATTTGTGCTTCAAAAGATTGGAGTATTGTCAATAAGTTATTAGTTTCATCTTATGTTACTCCACAAATTGCTACTAAAAGATGGTTTACAAAAGTTTTAATCAAGCTTACTTATGGAAAATATACATTGGGTAGCAATTCAGCAAATATCTTAGTTCAGGATAGAACTACGGGTATTATTTTGGAAGAGAAAATGGGAATCTATGTTCGGTTAGGTATTCGATTATTATACAAAGGTTTTGATAAAGCCAAAACCAGACGAATTAGACAAGTATTGAAAAAATTAAGCATAAAGCAAGGAACTAAATTTGATTCACCACAACTGAAAAATGATATTGAGTCTTTTGTTAAATTTCATAAATTAGACTTATCGCAATGTCTCGAGCCGAACTTAGATAAATATGATACTTTCAATGAGTTTTTCTATAGAAAGTTGAAGCCAGATGCTAGACCGAACGAATCGCCTCATGACAATAGAGTTGTTGTTTCACCAGCAGATTGTCGTTGTACAGCTTTTGCTACTGTTAAACAAGCAACAGAGGTTTGGGTTAAAGGGCGGAACTTTACGATAGCCAAACTTTTCAACGGTAATTTCAATAACCTCCAAGAAACTGATCTATATAAAGCTGACTGTTGTTCATTAGGTATCTTCAGACTAGCCCCACAAGATTATCACAGATTTCATTCGCCTGTTGATGGTGTAATAAAGAATATCAAATATATCGATGGGGAATACTATACGGTTAACCCTATGGCTATTCGATCGGAACTAGATGTCTTTGGAGAAAATGTGCGTGCTATTATTCCCATAGAAACTAAAGAATTTGGTACTGTTATTATGGTTGCTGTTGGTGCAATGATGGTCGGGTCAATTGTTCTTACAAAGAATGAAAATGATGAAGTCAAAAGAGGAGATGAAATCGGTTACTTTAAATTTGGTGGTTCAACTATTCTTTTGTTATTTAACAATAAGGTGTTCAAATTCGATTCTGATCTAGTTAATAATTCGAATACATCTGTAGAAACATTGATTCGTGTGGGTGAAAGTATAGGCCATGCACCAGAGATTGAAGAGTATAAGAGGGACCATATAGATTTTGGTGCTCAATCCAAGGATTTCAAGTTGAATTTGATCAGAGCCCTTACTGGTGGCGACTTAAATACTTCCAAAGAATTAAGTAATTGGGAGAGTACTCACACAAATATTGAAGATTTAGTAGATGTTGTTAAGGAGGAGGATATTGTTGAAGACGAAGAGGATGACGACCTAGAAGAAGAAGGTCTGTTTTACAGTAATGAAAGCGATGCATACGATTTATAGTCGTTACATAAATCAAATTAAATAAATACATATATTGCATAACTACACCCTTTGTGTACCATTTACTCTTTGATTCCATACCTTTTCTTATCCATGTAATTGAGTTACAATGGCCTATTTACACATCAAACCTTTGTTCAGGAAACAAGCTTAAAGGGGAATAAAACTTATCTTCTTTAAACCCACTTGCTTCTTCCAATCCACGAACGTGCCACCCTAAATATTCAACATTGTATTTAAGATTCTGGACTTCATCGTATTTTCTTTGTATGAATATAGGTTCTAAGACAAATTTTGCTAACAATGGTGGTAAAACCAATCCACTCAATAATCCAATTGTAGCTGGCGATTTGATAACTAAAGACATAATTGATTTATTTACTTACCTCTGCGTCAAAATCATTTAGTGGGGGATGCAATATATTTATACTGCGAATTTTTTGGTGGTACCCCGGAGAGACCCTGAATTCGGAACATCACGGAATTTGATATATTATAGATTAATCTATATAGATGTAGTTTGGTAATGAAATACTGTCAGTAGCAATCTGATAGTTTAAAAGTGTAGCTGTATCAAATTACATCTAGTATGTATATACGACTATATAATTAGTTGAGTTAGGCCTTCTGTTGACCGCCATATAAGCTTCTCCATTCATCGATTTTGCTTTCATCAATTCTCTTGAACAAGTATTGGGCCTTACCGATACAGTGACCAGGTTCTAAAACTAATTCGAACTTATCGGTAATAGATAAAGGAGGGGCATTCAAAACTTCGCAAATTTGGGTAGTAGTTTCTGGCATGAAAGGACTAATGATAGCACTAACCAAGTAAATCAAATTCAAACCAACGCCCATAACAGCATCAGATTTGTCCGGTAAATTAGTATACAAATTATTGTCTAATTTGTTGTCTTGCAAAAATTGGTTACCACGAGATGAGATAGACATAGCGATTTCTAAACCACGACGTAAATTGACGGCTTCCATATTTTCAATGTAACTAGCTAATAATTGATTGATTTCGGAATTAAATTGATCATAGTCTGGAATGTTCTTAGGATCAAATTCTGGGATAACACCGTTATATTTGGCGATAACAAACTTGACTAATCTATTGACAAAGTTACCCAAGTTAGCCAATAACTCAGAATTATTCTTAGTAACGAATTCGGTCCAGGAAAAGTGAGAATCTGAAGTTTCAGGTCTCACAGAAGCTAAGTAGTATCTCCAGACTGATGGAGAAATGTTAGTGTCCTTTGCATTGTTACCAAATACACCTACACCTCTCGATTTAGAAAATTTACCATTTTCATATTGTAAATATTCGGTTGTATTCAAGTGGTGCAATTTGGTCCAGTTGTCTCTAGTACCAATTTGCGTAGCTGGGAAAACAACAGTATGGAAAGGAACATTATCCTTACCCATAAATTGGTATAAATCGACATTTTCTGGATTTCTCCACCATTTCTTCCAATCCTCTGTTTTGTCGTCCTTGAAGTAGTTTGCAGTGATAGAAACATAACCAATTGTGGCATCAAACCAAACATATAAGACCTTTTCCTTGAATTTTTCCAATGGAACAGGTGTACCCCAAACTAAATCTCTAGTGATACATCTTGGCTCTAAACCTTGTTTCAACCATGAATTGGTGATAGTCTTTGAATTCTTCGACCAAGCACCCTCTTCGGAGGCTTTTTCAACCCATTCCTTAAGTTCTGGTTCCAAATCATTCAATTTAATGTAAATATGAGTGGAGTTTCTAGGAATTGGTTTAGCATTATCAACCTTACAACGAGGGTTTATCAATTCGAATGGATTCAATAAATTACCACACTTGTCACATTGGTCACCCCTGGCATCCTCATATTGACATTTAGGACAAGTACCTTCAACAAATCTATCGGCTAAAAACGCATTATGCTCTTCACAGTACAATTGTTCAGTGGTCTGCTCTTCTAAATATTTATTATTAAATAATTTCATAAAGATATCTTGAGCAATTTCAGTTTGTTGAGTAGTAGTAGTTCTTCCGAAATAATCAAATCCTATATCAAACCAATCATAAACATCCTTGTGGATCTTGTGGTATTTATCACATAACTGCTTTGGTGTAATTTTTTCTTCCAAAGCCTTAGTTTCAGTAGCAGTACCATATTCATCTGTACCACAAATAAACAAAGCATTATAGTTTCTATTCTTAGCATAACGAGCATAAATATCTGCTGATAAAACAGAACCAACAATATTACCCAAATGTGGAACATTATTCACGTATGGCAATGCAGAAGTAATCAAGATATTTCTTTCGTTTTCCTTTGGGAGAATTCTGTCTGCTTGCTTCTTCACTAAATGACCGACTTGAACCTTTTGAACTCCAGTATTCTCGCTCTTTTGTCTTTCTAATGTTGTAATAGACAAGGCATGCTTAATACCTTCGCATACTTTTGGAAGTTCACTAAATTCCTTAAACCACTTGCTAATTGGAGTTTCATTCTTACCATCATTTAATGCCCCATATACCGCAGCAAAAAGAATGATCTGGCTAGCTGAAGTTTCTACCTTTTCAAGTTGTACAGAGCTCTCATTGATGGCCTGAACAACTGCATCCTTTTTATTCGATTTCAAAGCTTTATAAAGGCCAGTTTCTTCGAACTCTATAACACTATCTTTGCTGAAATCATTTGCAAGGTACTTTACTATAGCATTTGGTTCCGATAATTCGAAGCCTGTCTTCTTATCGGTCAATGAGAGAGATGAGTCATTTTCACTCAAAGAAGCACTTAATTTAGGTTGATAAATAGCAGTAGCTATAGATAATTTCAAATTATTAGTTAATGTCAATAAGTAGCTACCTTTTTCACCAATTAACTGAAGCGAAGACATGTTATTCGTATGTAATTTGCTAGTTTCTAGGATTAATGATCTTCTTTTTATGTTCTAAAAAGTTGAATGCTCATTACTCATATATTGTAACACAAAAATGTTTAAGGCCTTAACTAAGAGAAGAAACTAATAAGAAGATAACTATTACTAGAAACATATAACATAATGCTAAGATTGGTCAGAAACGTGAAATTGAAGCGATATGTCAATTTGATGTCCTTAAGGAATATAACGAGTCAAGCGACTGACGAATGGAATAGTTTGATATCATCTAGAGATTTAAATATCAGAGATGCTGAAATCAAGGTAGATTCGGACAAGACTTTGGTGGGAACAACATTTATAGCTAAGGATAACATAGCTACTACAAAGGAGCCTACTACATGTGCATCAAATATGCTTGATAATTATTGTAGTCCATTTGATGCCACAGTGATCACCTTATTGGAAGAACAAGGTCTGACGATGATAGGAAAAGCCAACTTGGATGAATTCGGTATGGGATCAGCTAATGTTAATTCATACTATGGACATTCTGTAAACCCATTGTTTAAAGAAAAAGAGCATATTACTGGTGGTTCGTCAGGAGGATCGGCAGCCAGTATTCAAGGAGATCTAGCAACTTTCAGTCTAGGTACAGACACAGGAGGTTCGGTGAGATTGCCTGCTAGCTATTGCGGTGTTGTAGGCTTCAAACCTACATATGGAAGAATATCAAGATGGGGTGTAATCCCTTATGCTCAAAGTCTAGATACTGTTGGGATTTTTGCAAAGGATGTTGATACTGTGCAGAATGTTTTCAAGGTTTTAGATAAACATGATCCGAAAGATCCTACGTCATTGCCAGCTGACTTTAGAAAACAAATAAGTAAGGAGAGAGAAATATACAAGAAAAGTAGGTCACAATTGGTCTTTGGTGTCCCTGATGAATTTCTAGTTAAGGAATTATCACAAGAGACAAGAGAGCATTGGCTGCATTTGCTCTGTACGTTACAGGATATGGGACACATTGTAAGAAGGGTATCTATGCCTTCTTTAAAGAAGCTGATCCTGGCCTATTTTGCATTAGCTACGGCGGAAGCATCCTCAAACCTCTCTCGTTACGATGGAATACGATATGGGTTTAATACCAATAATTTGAAAGACTCGCCATTAGAACTTATAGCAGAAAACAGGAGTAAATCTTTAGGCCTTGAGGTTCAAAGAAGAATAATTCTTGGGAATTATACTATGTCGGCAGATTCGGGTAATCATTACTTCAAAGCTACAGATGAACGCCGGGATATCGTTGAAGAATTTAACGAAATATTGAACTTCCCAAATTTATTGATGAATGATCCTGCTGAGTTCCTGTCTGAAAAATGTGATATTATTGTTACTCCAACGGCCATGAGTGGACCATTGAGCGTGGAAGAATATTTGCGTCATGATAAGGAAAACTTTTTAAATAGTTATGTAAATGATATATTGACAGTACCTGCCTCGTTAGCAGGAATGCCAGCTATATCAATACCATGGGAGACCCCAGGAACGGACCCAACCATCCCACAGGGAATGCAATTGATGGCTCAGTTTGGTGATGACTACTTTCTTCTTAATTTTACCGCCGAGTTGATGAAACTTAACAGCACTACATAGTCGGTTGCTTGTCTTGTATATACTGTAAACATAATAAAGTTAATGCTATATTTAAACAATATATGAAATGAACAGTTGAATATCATAACATCATTAGTAACTGGTTGACTAGAAAAAGTTGGTAGAAAAAGGTAGAACTAAACCATAAATATAAAAATGCAAAGGTATATAAAAGATTAGAAAACAAATGTTGAAATCATTTTCTTAAAGTCCATTTAGTGTCTGCCTAATAGAGTCAAAAATTCTTCTCTTGTCTTTTGTTGATCACGGAAACACCCAAGCATACAACTGGTAGTGGTTGAAGATCCAGTCTTTTGGACTCCTCTACTAACCATACACATATGAGTTGCCTCTATAACAACAGCTACTCCTCTAGGCTTCAAAATTTCGCCCAATGCCATCGCTATTTGTTTCGTCAATCTTTCTTGAACTTGAAATCTTCTGGCATACATTTCAGCCAAACGGGCCAATTTGGATAATCCCAACACCCTCTTATTTGGAATATAGGCAATGTGAGCCTTACCGAAAAATGGCACTAAATGATGTTCACACAATGAGTATATCTCGATGTCTCTCACAATAACCATCTCATCGTGATTCTCCTCAAAAACTGCTCTCTTGATAACATCTCTTATGTTATCTTCATACCCTTTTGTAAAGTATAACATTGCACGGGCATAACGTTCAGGAGTTTCCAATAATCCTTCTCTATCAACATCTTCCCCTAATTCTGTCAAGATGGTCTTGACTGCCGAAGCTATTCTCAGCTCTCTAGCATCAGCCTCTTCCTGTGTTTGTTCGATACGGGAACGAGCACCTCTGGATGGCCAAGACAATCCATCATTGTCAATAGGAGGGTTCAAAGTACATGGTGAAGCAACCCTGGTTTGTAAAGGTGTACCAAAGCTCGGATTAATATCATCGCCAGCCAATCTTGATCTTTTCAATGGTAAAATCGGTTTGGGGGAATAAGTACCATTAAATGGCTCACTTTTTGCTACCTCATCATTCTTCCCTGACATTGTATACTATATCTTTTTTCAGTTTCTAATACTCTATTGCCAAAGCTTGAAAAACTTGCTAATCTTAGTCATTAATGAACGATTTAGATCTTTTCGCAGTTGTCGAATTTTATTCACGTGAAAGTGTACGATAGACTCGGACTACCTCAGACTACAGGCTCAAGATGTTACTAACTACGATACTCTACAAATGCAAGCAACGTGCTTATAATGATATAAAAAATCATAAATTCGTAGAAAAAATTAAACTCACAAAAAAAAAAGAATATATAAACATTAAAAGTTATTAATAATCGTTATTGAGAGATGACTTACTCACAGAATGGATTCAAAGCACGTACAGTCAAACAAGGTAATGCCATACCTATTTCAGCCCTAATTAGGATTGGCACTTGTGTTAACTCCCTGATCTCTTGAATATATGAACCATTGTCAACTCTGGTAATAAGGTCCTGCAAGTATGGCTTCAAGCCACTTAATGCGTCGATATCACTCGCTCCGTTAGCAGAGTCTGATTTAATCAACGACGATGAATTAGTTCTGACATTCCTTGGGAAAGACGACGACCTAGTTGGAGACGATGGCATTGATCTTGTATTCAAATCCTTGGATTCTAGATCGAATTTATTGATCGAAGGAATGGTTATATTTGGAACTTCCAAGTTCAATTTGGATAACTTCTGAACAATTGAGTCCGACATTACGTTATTCTTTTCCAATAATGTCTTGCTCTGCATCTTTGCTGCTTGCAATGATGAAGTTCTGTATTTGTTCTTGATTGATGACCTATACGATAAGGAAGACTGTTCATCAGGAGGAATATATGTAGCCGAATCTACTCCCTTTTCCCAGTAAAGTTCTAAGAGTCTGGATGATTTATCGAACTCTGCCTTCACTAATGGCAACTGATCACCATGAACTCTCTTTTCAACACCAAATTCTGGAATAAACACATCAAAAGATGATTCATAAACTTGAATGACTGTACCCATGCACAATAATTGGCCAGCACTTTCACTAATTTCATTAATAGTTTGGGATAATAATAAGTGAATTGCTTGTTCTTGCGCATTAGCTGCGCAGTCTTTCTTGAAGTTACAGTAATCAGCTGTTGCCTTTAATGCATCCAAATCTACCGATCTATCTTCTTCTGTTTTATTAAGTACATTCTTTAATTGTCTGTGAACAATCAAGTCTGCATATCTTCTCAATGGAGCAGTAAAATGAGTGTATAATGGAATATTGAAATAATAATGGCTATAGCTGTCAGGATCTTGCTTTCCCGCAACATAATACTTTCCTCTTGACATGCACTTGTACAATAAAATTTCAACGCATTGTCTTTTAACAGGATCTTGAATTTTCAAGATAGACTTTTGCAAAGTCGACGAGTTAGTTGTGTCAATCTTGAATCCTAAGTTAGTTGCCCTTCTTACAAAGGTTTCCATTTTTTGTAAAGTTGGTAATGAGTGACGACGCAATAAAGCCTGGTCTCCTAGGCTTGCATGGATCTTTGCCGCAATAGCATTATTCACCTTATGTGAAATTTCATTTATAATGTCAAAAGAAAGACTATCTTTGAAAATATTCAAATGTAAGTTAACCTTTTCATCATCTAATTGATCCAATAAAGTCAAGTTTGGAGTAATGCCTAGGTCCTTGTCATTTAATCTTTGACGACGGAACTCTTTTGCAATCAAGCCAAAAGTCTTAATATAGTCTGACGTTGCAGATGATATATTAGTAACCTGCTTACCGTCTAAAATTTGATCAAAAGACTCATACTTGACAATTTGCTTAGGCACTATAATAGATTCATGAATGTAAAGATCTTCAACTTCAAAGTTATTTGTATCAATTTCAAAAATAACTGAAAGCGCTAAATTTCTTTCGTTTTCCTTGAAGGAAATTAAATCATTGACTTGCTGTGGGAACAAATGAGTTATTTTCTGAGGTAAAAATACGGACGATGATCTCTTCTTTGCCTTTCTATCTAATAAGGAACCAGGTTTGATAAAGAAGGCAATATCAGCTGCATGGAATCCTAATTCAATCTTAGAATCTGAAAGTCTCTTGACATGCAACGCATGATCAACGAATTCTCCATTTTGAGAAAATGATATAATATAATCATTCAAGTACTCTGTTCTGTTGATGTTATTTAATTCAGATTCAATACTTGGGAAATCATTGATGTAAGAGCTTATAACTCCACTAACATCATCCTCAGGGTATTCATCACATAAGAAATTATTATCTCTTAAAATAGAATTGATTTCCGTTTCAGGATCATCAATCTTAGCTAATTTGCTTATCAATGTACCAAATGGATGCAAAGAGGTAATAGGCCATCTCTTGATCGACGCAACAAATAATTGATCCGCGTACCTTTCGTGATTTTCCACGAAATCCTTAGGAGCTTGTTCGGTTGGAATAGCAATCAAAGGCACTTTTTTGTCTGTGGGCTTAAACCAGACAATCTTAGGTGCCCTTGGTTGTTGGATAGATGGCTCCTTTCCGTACTTCTTATCCTTGGCTGCTTGTGCTGCTTGGGCTGGTCTCAATAAACCTAAAGTACCAGCAAATAATTGACCAGGTATACGATCAACAACTGCAACAACATGACCAGCATACAATGGCTTGACTTCATCGTTAATTTCTTCTTCTTCAACCAAAAGTAACGATTGACCTTCAACTTCAACGTCATCATTCTTTTTCATGGTAGGTCTTTGTTTTAATGAACCTCTTCTGGTCAAGCCAGAGTCTCCATCAGTTTCAGATTTATCCTCTGTTTCGCCACTAGTTGTAGGAGCTGATGTCGAAGTTGCATCGTTGTGGATATCATCGTTTAATATTGATGTGGCTGGTGTCTTACCTAAAGTGTTGTCCTTTCTTCTCTTCTTTTCTTCCTTTTCCTTCTTGGAATCCCAAACTTCATCGACAACCAATAATTCAATAGCCACTAAATCACCTTCTAATGCACGGTTACGATCCTTTGAACCACAGATAAAGATATCGGCATCCAATAGACCATCAGTCGAGACGTATGCATCAGATCTATTCTTTTTATTAACTCTTAAAGTACCAGTAACTAAACGACCGTCACTGATTAATTCAGGTAATGAAGATTGTGGCAAGTAAGGAGCAAAAAGAGATTTACGTCCACTTCCATTTCCGTTTGCCCCATTATTATTAGGCATAAATTGAGACAATGACGAAATAGACGAACCACCCCCATAAGAACTATTACGAGGTCTATGCCCCGGAACAAACGAGGCTTGCGGAGGCTCAAGTTGAGAGGATTGTTGCCTCTGATGTTGCTGCTGTTGAGATCTCCAGTTGGTATTCATATTGGCTGCACCATTTGGGTCGAAATTCCTAGAACCAGATCTATAGTGAGAACCACGTCTTTGGTGTCCTCTCTCTGGACTTTGACTGATCGTAAAGTTCGGAGTTGGAGGCAATAATGAGTTATTTTCTGGAGGAAATTTGAATGATTGTTGACCGTAAGCTAAAGACTTTGATCTATTATGGGTAGATCCAGAAGATCCACCCGAATACGAAGAATCATTTTCGCCACCCTCGGAGCCTGAACTTGGAGGAAATTTGAACGATCCAATACTGTCGTTGGTGTTAGGACTACCGCTAGATTTTGGACTAGAACTAGAATTATCACCGGTAGGGCTCAATGATGTTCTATTTGTTTGTCTTTGGTTAGCAGCAGCTTTGATTGCTTCATTCAATCCCAAAGAATGTCTTCTGTTGTGACCCAAATTTTGGTTCGAGGCTGATCCAGTTCTTCTGTGGCCCTGGCCACTACCCCCACTATTCGAATTTATCGAAGACGATCTTGAATGTGAACGGTAGTTGGATGGTGGAGGCATCAATTCTGAGGCATTATTGTTCGTATTGCCTCCTCCAGTGTTGTTGCTATTTTTCGCCGGATAACTATACTGTTGTGTCATCTGTTGCGCTTGCAATATCTGCTTCTGCTGCAATTGAACCGCTTCCAATTGACGTTGGAGGTTATATTGCTCTACCATAAGCGTAGTTAACTCGCTTGGCGAACGTCTATGTGCAATATGTAAGTTTCTTGGTTTCTTGGACCCTGCTCCCCCGCTAGAGCCCGGAACGCTCAAATTATCTGAGCTGTTGCTATTACTATTCTCAGCGCTCATCTTTACTATTATTTTCCGCTTTCTACCAATTTAATTGACTGCGTGTCGAATTAATAATCTTTCTCTCCTCGTAAGCAAATATTTGATATTTCAACAAATACCACTATGTATAACTATCTTCTATAATCTAATATCAATTCTCAACTTCAATTATCTTCAATTGATGTACTCAAATATAAATATTGCAAAAAAAGTCTTGTTGCTTGCCGCTACTTTTTTATAAAAGGATTGGACGTGTCCCTAATTAAGTCCACTCAATATTGTATTAATTCTATAATGAAAGTAATCAATTATGCAATATATCAGTATTATCAATTACTTAATACTAATCTTCCAAGAAAGGGTAATTATATTAATTACTAAAAGACAATTGCTATCAATTTTGAAAGAATTAAGGAGTTAACAGGTTTTATATAAAATTTTTGTAGATAAAATCCTCAAGAGCGGTCACACTGCGAACTGCGCACAAAGTGGGTCCAGAATCATATTTACTAACCTTCACATATACACATTTCCCATCTACTAGAAACTGGATATTACAAGTGAGTATATGGTAGACAAAGGTAGGGGAAGTATAATTATTATTTACGGGGCAGGCTGAAAATGGCAAGCAAGTAAAGACACATTATGTGCGTAAATACTTAGAATTGCATTTTGATGAGCAGAGATGCATGTAGAAGTAGATTTACGTTTGGATAAAATCGCTAATTGTATTAAATAGGCAGCATTATATACTAAATGAGACCAATTCACATTCAAGAGTGGAAAGGTCTAGTAAGACGATTTGTCCAGTTTGCGAAAAATCAGGGATACTGATTAAAGTAATTTGGGCGGTCTCATGGTTATTGTGATCTCTTTGTAAGTTGATGGTTTTTGCATGGTACAGTTTTTGATTTCCCACAAAATAGACGTGGGGAGTTTCATCTGCGAGGGTGAAGGGGTCCGAGTTGTCAAATGGATAACAGTAAAGGGTGTCTGGGGCTGTAGGAATGATATTTTGCCACTTGATGTTTGATTCCATGATGGTGAGAACAACTTGTGGATCGGAAAGAGTTTCAGCGGTCAAGTACTTCAAGATATCACTGATATTCTGTCCTGACGTCCCTAAGAGACGCAACCCACTTTCTTCGACCTCCATCCATGCAGGGTTGGTGAGACTTTGTAGAGTAGAACCTCCAACGTATCGTTTATTGGACTGGAAAATTGATTTGTGTAGAGGCTGTTGGGGCAAGCATATTTCCGCCGGATCGTTGTTACCAGGCATTATTGATATAGGTAAAGAAGGTAACAAATCAGTTATAAAATTGTCCAAGCTTTTCAAAGAGTCTGTGTTATATTTTGAGATATTTTTTGATCCGTAGTTGTTGGTTGTGAAGAAATCATCATCTACCGTCTCTTCAATCGGCGCAATTGAGTCTCCAGCTATAATCAACCGCGATATCCTCGAAACATCGTGGGCATCGGCATTGTTTCCCAACTCTCCCGCCAAATATTGCTTTAATAACTCTATTTTTATATCGTGATTAGCCTCATCACATAATTTAAGTCCCGATACAAATGCAATCTTATTGTTTTTTTCTTTAGGTGTCTTAAGAGGTTTCTGAGGTGCCACTGATGGAAATACAACATCCATTATTTCAAATATCCCAGCTTGAATCTCAATTCCTAATATTGCAACAATGCAACCTGTCACCAATATATTTTTCTTTAAAAATTCATCGTTGTTCAAGATAGCTCTACCAGACTCATCTTCCAACATAACGACCGGCATGTCTTTTGCGTTCGGTAATGTATACGTATCAGGAACCTTCGGTAAGACGTCATCAATACCATTTTCAACATCTTGCAAAATGTTCAATTTGTTCTTCATGTCAGAAAAAATAGTACCACTTACCCAGCACAACTGTCCACTAGATATATCCAATATCTTATCCCTTTTAGTTACAATTTGTCCATTGACTTTCTTACTACCATCTCCCCATTTTTTTAAAGCATTATCATCGACACTTTTTTTCAAAACGGATAATCTGTATTGGTACATTGAATAAAATTGTTTGTCATATTTGCGTTCTTTAGTCTTAAGATCATAATCGTTTTGCTTCTCAAACTCTTCCATAAATTTAATATTAGTTCTATCCACTATGTCTCCTGGGGCATCTATATCATTATTTATATACTTTTGGAACGACATTTGTGCTTTGGTTTTATAATATCATTAAGAGAAACTCGTTTTTTTTTGGTGTAATTAAGTACGCGTTATATTTTGATCTACAATAAAATTTTATTTAATTTACCATTTACATTAAAATACATAATAAAAGAAGCTATATCAAGAAGGTGGGTAGAACTATATAAAAGATGCAGAAATTTACCAAAAATGTCCTATCAGCTTAGGCTCTCTTTTGCTTTTTATGCTTTTTCTCTATAGATTTACCACTTGCACCAATAGTAATATTAACTTTAGGAGGAACATCAAAACCAAACGATTTTGCTACCTTCACTAAATCTAACTTATCAATTTGATACACTGTCTTCAAGTGATGTGATGCATAAGCCTGTAAATAGGATCTGTAACCATCCTTAGCAGATTGGTGTAACCAGTAATTACCTTTAATTAACTTGGTTAATTGAGATTGGACGTTAGCAATTTTGTTGGTTGGAAATTCGTATTCATTTAAAGGAACATTAGCAGCTTTTAAGTATCTCAAGAAGCCTAATTCAGATGGTGTTAAGAACATCAATGATTTACCCTTACCGGCAGTACCTCTGGCAGTTCTACCAACTCTGTGAATATAGTCTCTTGGATCATCAGGTGGGTCGAATTGAATAATCCAGTCAACAGCTGGGATATCCAAACCTCTAGCAGCCACATCTGTACATATTAAAATACCTTGTTTAGCATTACAGAATTCGAAGAAGGTATTCGTACGCTTTTGTTGCTTTTGTTTACCATGCAAATCCAAGACTGGTAAATCAATATAATTCAATAATTCACCGAAGTATTTGACACAGTTACAAGACGAAAGGAAAACAATAATCTTCTTTTTCACGTTTCTTTTCAAGAATGAAAATAACAATAAGAATCTCTTATCAGACTCACATACAACATAACCTTGCTCTAAACCAGCAACGGTAGAAGCTTCTGATTCTGATGCAACATTAATATATAATGGACCAGGTCTTAAAGAAATTCTGGCTAAATCTTCAACCTTAGTAGTCTGAGTAGCCGAGAATAACATAGATTGTCTGTCTTCATTTGGCAAAATTTTGATGATCTGCTTCATTTCTTCTTCGAAACCTATTTCTAAAATTCTATCTGCTTCATCAATAACTAATGCCTTTAAATTCTTGAAAACAAAACCTTTAGTATTTTGCAAATGATCTAACAATCTTCCTGGAGTGGCAATCAACAAGTTGACACCTTTCATTAACTTTTCAGCTTCTTGTCTTCTGTTAGCACCCCCAATCACAATACCGAATGTTTGACTGTGGTGAGCCATTAATTCCCTTGCAACACCAAAAATTTGTAATGCTAATTCTCTAGTAGGTGATACAACAACAACACCTGTCCCGTTTCTAGGCTTAAATCTCAAAGAATACAACATTTCAATGGCTGGAATCAAAAAGGCCAATGTCTTACCAGACCCGGTTTTGGCAGCACCCAACACATCACGGCCGGCCAATAAAGGTGGAATGGTCTTAGCTTGAACCTTTGTCATCTTACTGAACCCCATATCCTTGATGGCTCTTAATGTAGGTTCGGATAACCCAGCTTCTTCAAAATTATCGGTCACTATGTCATCGTGACTAGATTCTGCGGTTGGCTTGGTCAATTCTCTGGTTCTTTCTTCTTCCTGAATCTGCTTTTCTTTTTTCTTGTCTTTCTTAGCTTCTGGATCTTTAATATCCTCGCCTAATAATCCTGCTACCTCATCAAAATCCTCATCTAACTCCTCAACTAATTTTTCGTTATCTGATTCTGAAGAGTCCGAATCTTCTTCTTCGTGCTCCCTTTTCTTGGATTCAACCTTCTTAGATGGTTGAAACTTTGCTGATTTAGGAGATCTTCCAGTTTTTAACTTAGAACTCACTGCCATGGTATGAATGCTGTCAATCAAAAAATCTTCTATCACCGTTAACGAATTTTTTCAGTCTCATCTCATCGTTAACAAAAATATTTCTTCAGTATAAACTTGATCACGTGATGGTTTTATGATTTAGCACTTTCGAATATTAGTCAAGATCTACTTAGGTAGAGTTGTATTTATTCTTATAGCATTAACAGAAGAGTTATCACGAAGTTACTAAGATATAGATGTACAATGGCTTCTTATTCTGTTAATTCTACAAAATCTTTCATGCAGGCTATGCAGCCGATGATAGAAATATTAAACAATTTACCGGTACCAAAAGATGAAAAGATACCAAGAATTGATAATGAGAATAATAGAATCACCCCAATCGGTGGTATATTGGATAGATTTCATGGTATTTCGACAGAGGTTTTGGATCACATAGTGGATTCTAGCCAAGGCAGTGCTAGTAATGGTATCATAGAGATTGAAAAAGAATGCGGAAGGATCAGTAAGGATCGAGGAGACCATTCTAATGAGGTATTTGATATGGTGAAGAATATTTTGACTTCGAGTCCTGGAGACGAGGAGTTGCAATCGTCATTGTTTGATATTCTTGGTTTTGAAGAATTTGAATTGATATCCAAAATTGTGCAGAATAAGTCGCAATTATTAGCATCCGACAATACTAATGATGTAAAAGAGCAAAGATTTTTGACTCCAGAGGAGAGAGCTCAACAGTTGATTGAAAACCATGAACGTGCGAAGAATCAGAAATTAGGTCCCAAACAACTTCGTCAGGAATACCCACACGTGTTTAAGAAACCAGACGTAGGTAACATGTTGTCAATAACAGGCAAGAAGTTTTCATTGCCTGTTGGTACAACTAGGGAGAGTTATGCAACTCATGAGGAAATAGTAATTCCTTATCCGGAAAATGAATCAAACAAATGGATATCCGAAGACAATCTCGTCCAAATTGATCAATTGGACTTCCTTTGTAAAGGAACGTTCAAAAATTATTCTAACCTTAACAAGATGCAAAGTTTGGTATTTCCAGTAGCATATAATACTAATGAGAATATGCTTGTATGTGCTCCAACTGGTGCTGGTAAAACAGATGTGGCCTTGTTGACCATTTTGCATGCCATTAACCAATTTGTCACTGAAACTGTGAGCGACGATGGTGATATTACTGTCGATATTGATTACGATGAATTTAAAATTGTCTATGTTGCGCCATTGAAGGCATTGGCTGCCGAGATTGTTGAAAAATACAGCAAAAAACTTCAATGGCTTGGTATTAGTGTCCGAGAATTAACTGGTGATATGCAGCTATCAAGACTGGAAATCATGACGACGCAAGTTATTGTTACTACTCCTGAGAAGTGGGATGTTGTTACAAGAAAACTGAATGGTGATAATGAATTAGTTGCGAAAGTTAAATTACTTATCATCGATGAAGTGCATTTATTACATGAAGATAGAGGGTCTGTCATTGAAACATTAGTAGCACGTACTTTAAGGCAAGTTGAAAGTACACAGCTGATGATCAGAGTAGTTGGTCTTTCAGCTACTTTGCCGAATTATAAAGACGTCGCTGATTTCTTAGGTGTTAATAGATCGATTGGTATGTTTTACTTTGATCAATCATTTAGACCCTGTCCTTTACAGCAACAACTTTTAGGTGTCCGTGGTAAGTCTGGATCCAAACTAGCTAGAGAGAATGTTGATAAAGTATCATATGAAAAATTAATAGAATATATTGACCAGGGCCTCCAGGTTATGGTGTTTGTCCATTCTCGTAAGGATACAGTTAAAACTGCACGCACATTTATTTCTATGGCACAATCTTTTAATGAGCTTGGACTGTTTGATGCATCACAGACGTGTGAATCCTATGACAAATTTAGCAGAGAAATGTCAAGCAAGAATAGAAATAGAGATATGAAAGAATTATTTCAACATGGCTTTGGTGTTCATCATGCTGGTATGTTAAGATCTGACCGTAATCTTACTGAAAAAATGTTTACTAGTGGTGCTATCAAGGTTCTTTGTTGTACATCCACTTTAGCATGGGGTGTGAATTTGCCTGCAGCCGTGGTTATTGTTAAAGGCACTCAAGTTTATGACTCAAAGCAAGGTGGTTTCATTGATTTGGGAATTTCCGATGTAATTCAAATTTTTGGTCGTGCTGGTAGGCCTCAGTATGAAAAGTTTGGTATTGGTATTTTATGTACCACAAGTGATAGGTTAGACCACTATGTTTCATTGATTACACAACAGCATCCTATAGAATCTAGATTAAGTGACAAATTAATCGACAACTTAAACGCCGAAATTTCTTTGGGAAGTGTTACCAACGTTGAAGAGGGTGTCCAATGGTTGGGCTATACGTATATGATGGTTCGTATGCGACAAAATCCGTTTGCGTATGGCATAGAATGGAAAGAATTGCAAGAAGATCCATTATTACACAATAGGCGTCGTTCAATGATAATATCTGCGGCCAGAAGACTCCATGAATTGCAAATGATAATATTTGATGAGAATTCTGGTGCATTGAATTCTAAGGATTTAGGAAGAATTGCGTCTGATTTCTACTTATTGAATAATTCAGTTGAAATTTTTAACCAGATGATTAACCCTAAGGCAACAGAAGCAGATGTTCTTTCAATGATAAGTATGAGTAGCGAGTTCGATAGTATTAAATTTAGAGAAGAGGAAGTTGAAGAATTGAAAAAATTGTTAGAAACTGATGTCCCATGTCAAATTGCAGGAGATATCGAGTCGGCCCACGGAAAGACAAATATTTTAATCCAATCATATGTTTCTCAGGCAGCTATCAAAGACTCTGCTTTAATATCTGACTGTAATTATGTGGCTCAAAATTCTGCTAGAATTTGTAGAGCCTTGTTTTTGATCGGTATGAATAGAAGATGGGGAACTTTTGCAAAAATTATGCTATCTATTTGTAAATCTATTGATAAGAGAATCTGGGCATTTGATCATCCATTAACTCAATTCGATCTTCCAGAGCATGTATTGAAAAATATTCGGGCTAAAAATCCTCCTATGGATATATTGAAAGATATGGATGCTGGAGAATTAGGTGGCTTGGTTCATAATAATAAAGCCGGAGGAACGTTATATAAATTGATATCTAGATTCCCTTGCTTGGAAGTTGAATCTGAAATCTTTCCCATTACTACTAATGTCATGCGTATTCATATAAACTTAGAGCCTGATTTTATGTGGGATGAAAGATATCATGGTAATGCTCAAATGTTTTGGATTACTGTTGAAGAATCTGATAATTCAGATATTTTACACGTTGAGAAGTTTATTTTGAATAAAAAGCAAATGAAAAGTCCGCATGAAATGGATTTCATGATACCATTGACAGATCCATTACCGCCTCAAATTGTAGTTAGAATTATTTCTGACACTTGGATAGGTTCTGAAACTGTTCACACTATTTCATTTCAGCATCTTATAAGACCTTCTAATGAAACTATAAGAACTAACTTATTAAGGTTGCAGCCGTTACCAGTAACAGCCTTGCACAATCCTGAAATTGAAGCTGTATACTCTAGCAAGTTCCATTACTTTAATCCAATGCAGACCATGACATTTCATTCTTTATACAATACCAATGATAGTGTGTTTGTTGGTTCCCCTACCGGTTCAGGTAAAACAGTTGTTGCTGAGCTTGCAATTTGGCATGCGTTTAGAGATTTTCCTGGCACAAAGGTTGTTTATATTGCGCCAATGAAGGCTTTAGTTAGAGAAAGAGTTGATGATTGGAGAGCCAGAATCTCACGTAATACCAAACACAAATTAGTTGAATTAACTGGTGACTCCTTACCGGAAGCGAAGGATGTTAGAGCAGCTGATATTATTATTACCACACCAGAAAAATTCGATGGTATTTCTCGTAACTGGCAAACTAGAAAATTTGTGCAACAAGTTTCTTTAGTTATTATGGATGAAATTCATTTGTTAGCAAGTGATCGTGGTCCCATTTTAGAAATGATTGTCAGTCGTATGAACTACATTTCTTCTCAAACAAAGAAGCCAATCAGACTTTTGGGTATGTCTACTGCTGTTTCTAATGCAATGGACATGGCAGATTGGTTATCTGTAAAAGATGGATTATTTAATTTTCCCCAATCTGTTCGTCCTGTCCCATTACAGATGTATATTGATGGTTTTCCAGATAATTTGGCTTTCTGTCCATTAATGAAAACTATGAATAAACCAGCATTCATGGCTATAAAACAGCATTCCCCTAATAAACCTGTACTTATATTTGTTGCCTCGCGTCGTCAAACCCGTTTGACTGCTTTAGACCTTATTCATTTATGTGGTATGGAGTCCAACCCTCGGAGATTTCTTAATATTAATGATATCGAATTGCTGGAGATTTTAGAAGACGTTAAAGACGACACATTGAGACTTTCTTTACAATTTGGTATGGGTTTGCATCATGCTGGTTTGGTTGAATCGGATCGTCAAATTTCTCATAAATTATTTGAGGCCGGAAAAATCCAGATCTTGATAGCCACTTCTACCTTAGCCTGGGGTGTGAATTTACCTGCACATCTAGTGATTATTAAAGGTACTCAATTCTTTGACGCTAAAATTGAAGCATACAGAGATATGGACTTGACCGATATTTTACAAATGATGGGACGTGCAGGTCGTCCATCATTTGATACAAGTGGTACTGCTATTGTGTATACTAAAGAATCTAAGAAGGTTTTCTATAAGCACTTTTTGAATCTAGGCTTTCCCGTGGAATCATCCTTGCATAAAGTTTTGGATAACCATATTGGTGCAGAAATATCTGCTGGAACTATCAATACCAGGCAAGAGGCTATGGACTTCTTAACATGGACTTTCTTATACAGAAGAGCCCATAATAACCCAACTTATTATGGAATTGAAGACATCAGTATGTATGGAATCTCCAAGTACTTGGCTGGATTAATTGACCAAACCATAGAGAACTTAATGGAATCTAAGTGTGTCATACTTACAGGTAAGGATAAACTTGTTGCAACCCCATTTTTGCATATTTCATCCTATTATTATCTTTCGCATAAAACTATAAGGAATTTAGTTAGTAAAATTTTCAAAGAAGCAACTTTCAGAGATTGTTTGAGATGGTTGTGTGAAGCTACAGAATATGATGAATTAGCTACCAGACATGGTGAAGAATTGATAAACATGGAAATGTCACAAGCTATGAGATATCCAGCTGATGATTTAGAATGTGAATTTATTTGGGATCCACATGTGAAATCTTATTTATTGATTCAAGCCTTTATTAGTAGGGTTGAACTACCAATTGCGGATTATGCACAAGATACAGTTTCTATATTGGATCAAGCTTTACGTATCTTGCAAGCCTATATAGACGCAGCTGCTGAATTGGGCTATTTGAAAACAGTTCTAACATTCATTGAGTTAATGCAATGTATTAAGCAAAGATACTGGTACGATGACGATCCAATATCTGCGTTACCAGGGTTGAATTTATTTAAGCTTCCAGAGGTTACTGAAAGCTCAAAGAATAATAAGCATGTAACGCAATTGTTTGACATTGGGAATATGAACCATGGAAAATTGTTACATTTAGCTTCAAAAATTGGAGTGAAAGGAAAGGATGATGGCGAAACCTTTGTAAATGATGAGGATGCAAAAAGAGAATTCATTCATATTGCATCCCATCTTCCTACTGGTAAAGTTAAAATATTTCAAGAAGCCTCCGATCAGTTACATTTTGAATTGATGCATGATAATAGGCCCCTTAACAATGATTTTAAGATGTATTGTCCACACTTTCCAAAACCACAAAGAGAATCTTGGTTTGTTATTGTGTGTGACGAATCAATGGAAGAATTACTCTTGCTCAAAAGGGCTTCTCCAAAATTGGTTGGTAAGAAAGGTAAAGTAAGCTGTGCTGTAGATATTCCAGAAGATCTTAAAGGACGTGTTGTTAATATTTTGTGCATTAACGATGCAATTAACATTCAGTATTCAGCAAAGCATGAACTTTTATGAGTAACATTTTTTTTTATTTAAACTCTGCATGAATTTTAATAAATGATTATTAGATTATAAAAATGCAAAATTATTGTAATTACTAATGTACAGTCTATATAAACAATTGCTTTATTCAAAGAAGTCATCTTCCTTTTCTTCTTCTTTATTATCTTTCTTACTTGGAGCGTCAATCTCTTCAGTCAAAACGGCATGGTTCTGGGTATCATCTAATCTAATAGTTTTACCCTGTAAGACATCTTCGATGGAAAATGGTAATTTGTCCTCATCAAGAAGGCGTTCTGCTTGCTTTCTAAGCTCTCTCTTCCTTTCTTCAGTCATCTGCATTCCTTTCTTGGCCTTAGGATTCTTGGACAACTCTTCTTTGTCGTCTTCTTTAGGGTTGGGGTATAATGAGATATATTTTTCAGTTTTAGGGAACAACACAACATACACAATATCAATCTCACTATGTCTAACAACCTTTCTGGCTTTCTTGATATCCTTTCTGACCTCTGTACTAGCTGCATCTTCAAGAGCCTTTCTTGCTTGTTTCAATTTTCTAATGGCCTTCTTCTTTTCGAAGAAACGAACCATATGATATTTTTTGGCGTTTTGCTTGGCCTTCAAATTGTGTTGAGTGTTCTGTAATTCCACCCCTAATGCCTTCAATGCTCTTTCATTTTCGATTCTCACATGGGCTGGTAATGTATCTTTTTTCAATAATCTTTCTATATCTCTCATCTTCTTTCTAATCTTCGATGCACCCGTTCCTATGACTCCGGCAACTTCTATAGAAGCTCCATTAGATCTCCTATTGTTATTTCTTGCAGTCTTTGGCATTATTACTCTATTCTTCTACAAACTAGTCTCCTAGGAGTTCTCCAACCGTATATAAGATTAAATCTACTTTGCGATGGGTACTAATTTTTTTTTCCATTGCGGCTTGAAAAATTATTCTGTATATTGAAAGCTTTGTATTCACAAATTTTTAAGTGAAGTATATCGAGACATTGATATTCGATAAGAAAAGCAGAAAGATTAACTGAAAGCGGCAATGGGGATTTTAGAAAAGATAGCACTGATTCAGGAAGAATTAGCTAGGACCCAAAAGAATAAGGCTACAGAATACCATATCGGTTTATTAAAGGGTAAGTTAGCAAGATTTCGTCGTGAATTATTAGAACCACAACCAGGACAAGGATCCTCGGGAGGAGGACAAGGTTTCGAAGTTTCCAAAGCAGGAGATGCTCGTGTTTCGTTAATTGGGTTCCCATCCGTTGGTAAATCGTCATTTTTGTCAAAGGTGACTAATACCAAATCAGAGGCAGCTAACTATGAGTTCACCACATTGACATCGGTAGGGGGGATCCTTGAATACAACGGAGCCGAAGTACAGATTGTTGATTTACCGGGGATTATAAAAGCGGCATCACAAGGTAAGGGTAGAGGTAGACAGGTGATTGCGGTGTCGAGAACTTCAGACTTGATTATGATGGTGTTAGATGCAACCAAGGGTGGAAACCAAAGAGAAGTATTGGAGAATGAATTAGAATCTATGGGGATCAGGTTGAATAAATCTAGGCCAAATATTTCTCTCAAGATAAAAAAGACCGGGGGAGTCAAATTAAATTCAATCACCCCACCAAAGCACTTGAACGAGAAGATAGTGGCCGCCTTATTGAAGGATTATAAGATTCACAACGCAGATGTACTTATCAGAGACGAAAATGTAACTATCGATGACTTCATCGATATCATTAATGACCAGCATATTTCATATATTAAATGCTTATACGTGTACAACAAAATCGATGCCGTTTCGTTAGAAGAATGTGATAGATTGGCCAGAGAACCTAACACCGTAGTCATGTCATGTGAATTGGACTTGGGTATTGAAGACTTAAAGGAGGAGATTTGGAGACAGTTGGGTCTTATAAGATTATATACTAAAAGAAGAGGTATCCAACCAAAATTCGATGAGCCGATGGTTGTTAGAGGTAACTCTACTATTCAACAGGTTTGTGATGCTATACATAGAGATATGAAAAATCAATTCAAATACGCTTTGGTTTGGGGTTCCAGTGCTAAGCATTCACCTCAGAAGTGTGGTATAAGTCATCCTATTAATGACGAAGATGTTATTCAAATAGTTACTAAATAGTAAGTCTATATAAATTTAATGCATTACGTTTACGCGCAAAATCTGTATTTATATAAATTTTATTACAGATCAACGAGACAACTTTGCATCGTTACCTTAAAATTGCAGCATGACAGACAAGTATACTGGACTTCCAGGTATAGATATTGAATCTGCGGAAGTCTTCGAAACGTCTGACATAGATAGTGAGGTCGAAGTTGATACTCATACGGATATAGATGCGTCAGAAAAAAATTCTGATATTGAAGAGCCAGAGTTAAATTCAGATGAAGCCAGAAGTAGATTCGCTAATGATGTTCTTGTTGGTGATATAAACATGGTGGACTTTCTGGGTAGTATTAATAACCCCAGTCTTACAAAAACAGGATACCAGGTGAATCAAGTAGATGAAACAGTGGACCAAAAACTTTCAAGAATCGCGAGAGAACTAGAGGAAATCAAAATATTGCAACTGAATGACACGTCAAATAAAAATAACTCTGAATGTGACAAGCTAGTGAGGACCTTGGAAACCTTCGCTAAAGAGCCGCTGCTGTTGCATGCTAGCGAACTAAATCAATATAATAATAGAATTAAACAAGTATTTGATCTGGTAACCTCTAGGCTCGAAGCGCACGGTTCAGATGATGCTAAGACACCCCAGGAATCTCAATTGGTCGACACATCGCAAGTGTTAGCATTGGAGTCTAGAATAAATGCCATTGAGGCTGCATTAGGTCCAGAGACTGCTATTGGTACCCAATCGAAGACAGACGCCAGACCCACAATCCAGAACTGGCTCAAGGAATTGAACCGCAAATTAAACGTGATCCACAACCCCGAGTATCAGTTGGACACAGTAAAACAAGAGGTAGCTCAGTTAACCAAACAACTAGAGACCTTAGCATCACAAAAGAAATTCCTAGACTTATCGCACCCGGTTCCTGCCAACCCTCCACCCGATCCAGACTCCGATAATAGCCAGATTCATTCAAAAATTGAAGATCTACATGAAAAATTACCTCATTTCAATCATGTCAATGCTACAGTACCATTGGTTATTTCAAGGCTAAAAACTCTACACACAGTCCATGCTGATCTAGCCAATACGGTTCAAACAGTCCAGGAATTGGATCTGATTCTAAACGATATCAAGATTGACATGAAAAAATGGAACGATTCTATTGATGTAGTGAATGCGAACATAGGTGATCATGAACAACAGTTCGAAAATAACAAGCTATATATTGATAATCTTCTTAAAGATCTCAATGATAAAGTAGCCAGTATCACCAGTGAGGTAGATTGAAAAATTGCTCGCTTAGAATTTCACTTTCCCAAAAAAAAATGCGCTCGCTATAAAATGCCTTTAGGATACGTGATGGGGAAGAATGAAGGTCATAACGACAACACGAATCTCCAATATATAAGTAGCCTAAAATCGCCCTCAATTGAATAAAGAATTAGTTTTCCTGAATTGAATAAGTTCATAAGATAGCTAAAATATGTTGAGGGCTGGATATCGTACAGCAGTTCGTTCTGCAACTAAGCTTACTCCAAGATTAGGACATGAGATCAGATTGATAAGCAAGCAACAAATCAGAAGTGCATCACAAATTGCACACCCAAAAGTACCTCCACAGATTGGAAATGAGGTAGTCAAGGATTTTTCTTTCAATCACCAAAAGGATTGGGATTTACTTAGGGCTTCAATTACCAAGTTCACTGATAATGGAGCTTTGAAGATTCCATTGGTGATTAATGGGGAGAAGATCTACAATTCTAACGAAATGGCACAAGTGAACCCAGCCAGACATTCACAAAGATTGGCAGAAGTGTCACAGGCGAGTGAAAAGGATATCAAGAAAGCTATTGAGGCTGCAAAGCAAGCGAAAGCTAAGTGGGGTGCGACACCATGGACTGATAGGGCTGCGATCTTCTTGAAGGCTGCCGATTTAATTTCTACAAAATACAGATACGACATGTTGGCTGCAACCATGTTGGGACAAGGGAAGAACGTTTTCCAGGCTGAAATCGACAGTGTGGCCGAATTAATAGATTTTTTTAGGTTCAACGTCAAGTACGCTGAAGAGATGTACAGTCAACAGCCTGTAGCATCAGCTCCAGGTGTCTGGAATCGTGCTGAGTACAGACCATTGGAAGGATTTGTCTACGCAGTTACCCCATTCAACTTCACTGCCATTGCTGGTAATTTGGTAGGTGCTCCTGTGTTGATGGGAAATACTGTCGTTTGGAAGCCATCCGCTACTGCCGCTTTATCCAATTACTTGTTATTAAACATTTTGGAAGAAGCTGGATTACCAAAAGGTGTTATCAACTTTATTCCAGGTGAACCAAATCAAGTAACTGATTTAGTTTTAAATGACAAAGATTTCTCAGCATTGCACTTTACCGGCTCTACTGATGTCTTCAAGAATTTGTATGTCAAAATTTCAAACAATGTTGCCCAAGATAAGTACCGTGACTTCCCAAGAATTGTTGGAGAAACCGGTGGTAAGAATTTCCACTTGGTTCATCCATCTGCCTCCTTAGATCATGCCGTATTGTCGACCATCAGAGGTGCATTTGAATTCCAAGGTCAAAAATGTTCTGCATTATCAAGATTATACGTTCCTAAATCAATCTGGCCTGAATTTCAAGAGAGATTGGTTGCGTCAATGTCTAACATTACTGTCGGCAACTGCACTGACCCAAACACCTTGCAAAATTTCATGGGTCCCGTCATCCACGAACAATCGTTTGATAAGTTAGCCGCAGCAATTGACCAAGCAAAAGCCGATCCTGAATTGACAATCATTCAAGGAGGTAATTATGATAAATCAAAAGGCTTCTACATAGCACCAACATTAATTGAAACCTCGAATCCAAACCACGAATTTTTGACTAAAGAATTTTTTGGTCCAATTGTCACAACTTACGTCTATCCTGATGCAGAATATGAATCAATTATGGACAAGATCGATGGAAGTACTAAATACGGTTTAACCGGTGCTGTATTTGCTAGAGACCGTGAAGCCATTAGATTGGCTGAAGAAAAATTACGTTATTCTGCTGGTAATTTCTATATCAATGATAAGTGTACTGGTGCTGTCGTTGGTCAACAATGGTTTGGAGGTGCCAGAATGTCAGGAACTAACGATAAGGCTGGTAGTGGTAATATTTTAAGCAGATTCGTATCTGTCAGGAATATTAAAGAAAACTTTTACGAGTTAACTGGCTTTAAATATCCTTCAAATTATAATTAATTCTACCCATATATATAATTTTCATTTCTTCCCAAAATTTAAATGTATATTATTATAATCAAAAAACGTAGGTATGTAATTGTAGCTGTGAGTCTTATAAAAGATTAGTATTTCCCTCCCATATACGGGTTAGGTCCATACGGTCCACCTGGTGGTCCCGGATGGTACTGGCCAGGCGGTGGTCCTGGGTTTCTAGGTGGTTGCATAGGAGGGCCAGACAAAATTCTTCCGATTCCATTACAAACAGGGCATAATTCATCGTCCAAGAAGAAAGTAATTAAACCAGATCCTCTACATCTCCCACATAATGTACCACCTATTCTTGGGTCACCTGGATTAACCCGCATTGGAGGTAATGAAGGTCCTGGCCCCGGGGCCGGTCTATATGGAAGCATTGGACTCATACTCACTGTCAGTGTAGTAAATAATGGATTAAATGACAACAGAGATGATACCGGCTGATATCCATTTCTGGGACTAAACCTCTCCCAACAATCCTTACATGATCTGCCATTTTTTATCTTGTATCCAGAATTATTACACTTTTCACACATATATCTCTTCGGAAATTTGAAAGGCAATTGGGGATTAGGATTATATGCATTGTTCTTCAAGTAAAATCTGTCCCAGCAGTCTCTACATAGTTTCCCATTTTTGATCTTATACCCCGAATTTCTGCACTTCTGGCAAAGAAACCCTTTTGGATATTGGAACGGTAGGTTCTGATTTGTCGTATATAGCGAATTAGTGTTCTGAGCAGTGTTTGGTGGTCGTTGGGGTCCAGGTGAGTTATAACTAGAATGAGATGAATTTGATGGCCTCGGAGGCTGGGGTGGTCTTAAAGTCTCCGGCCGTGGAGGTTGAGGTGGTGGAGGGTTTGGTCTTGAATAACTGCCTCCAGTTGACTCGTTGATTACTTCGTCATATGATGGTGGAGGCTCTGACGGTTTTATATCATCATGTGAATTCATGGCTGTCAAACTGTCAATCAAGGGCATTGGAATGGCAAACAATAGACCTAAGTAATGTTTAGTAGTGTTATCACGTGACTTTTGTTAAAAGAATTATATCAACAGTACTCTGATAGCAGAATAAAAGTGAAGACTACTCAATAGCATTAGAAAGAATATAATAATATGATTTGGTTGTCTGAGAGACAAAGTATGTAACTTTTTGAAGCATTTTGAAGAATAAAAAAGTACTAACCGAAATAGAATTCGGTGTTGGATTCACTGCCGGAGGAATATTCTTCTTCTTGTTTGGTATAATGGCATTTTTTGATTCAGCATTTTTGGCGTTGGGAAACATATTGTTTGTAATTGGGTTGATTTTAATCATTGGACCACAACGTACCGTGACGTTTTTCACCAGACCTACTAAGATGAGAGGAACTTTATGTTTTTGCACAGGAATACTATTAATCTTGGCGAAGAGATCATTTATAGGGTTTATTATTGAGTGTTTTGGGATATTGGGTCTTTTTGGCGATTTCTTCGGAACCATCGTGCAATTCTTAAGATCTATTCCTTACATTGGTGATATTTTGAGTCACCCTATTATTGCACCTACTATTGATAGATTGGCTGGTATTAATACGTTACCTGTTTAAAGGTGTTTATGATAATATTGCGTGTGCATACTGTATATTCTAGTTAGTTTTCGGTGTCAGATATGACGCTGCAAAGCAATTGTTTATAGCCTGTTCGTAATTAGACTAATATTACCCAGATTAATCATTTGGTCAATAAGCTTTAACGTGTAATCAGCAAGTTTCAAGGCAGAAAACACATCTACATCTATAACTGTCGCATCATTGGAGCTATTATCATTTCCCGTCATTATCTTTACTCGTGTATGTGTGTGGTAACGAATGATTTGGTTCTGTAGAGAGCTATATCCTGATATTTTTAAGTGGCCTCTGAATTTAGGAAGCCATAGTATGTAACTTGGCGGTTTTCTGGACATCGTCGATCTCTTATTTATGTACTCGACATTCATCAAGTTTGAGTGCACTAGATAACCAAAGTTGTTCATTAATTCTGAACTTCCATCGGTATAATCCAAAGATATTACTTCCCGAAAGGGCTCTGACTTTTTGATGCTGTTAATCAATTCATTAATGTTCAGATTACTGGCAAGTGAAGTAAATATAATATTATTATTGGACATAATAAATCTAAGTTTGTTCATAAGAAGTATAGGATGATAAATAAGTCCCACTATATTCGACTGGTTATCTGATAACGATACTTGAATGACATCATTCTGGCTGTTTAGGGGAATGTCCATATTCATGGGCCGATTATTTGCAATCTTCCTTGAAATGTTTACCAGGTTTAATGCCAACATTCCAAATGAAGGCAGTAAAAGAATCCCAGATAGTACATGATTGAAAATATACTCATGATTATCAAAATGCAAATTATTCAATGTGGTTACACCGCACCACGGTTTTATATCATGGTTGGTTTTATTTAAATTGGTAGCATTTAACTCGACCACTATTATCTTGATCGATCTTCGTCTACTTCGATAATATAAAAAGAGCGAAAATGCTATTATATAAGACGCAAAAGTAGATTTATGAGAAACCACTAGTACTACCATACTATATTTAATTCGTAATTTGTTTCTGCTTAAAGATTTATCTCTTATCATGTACTATATACATTTTTCGTAGAAGAGCTAAAACCACTGCATATAAAACTCTATTCCTTCTTCAAATTTATAATGTTTACAATAAACAAATCCAAATACAATGATGAACTCATACAAAACTAGATGCTTTCCTCCCTCTTAGTATTCATTTGCTCTAATGTTATTTTTTTGACTATTGTAATCTTTTCAACCAGCATTTTTCTACACATACTTCAAAAGTTAAAGTTTCGAAAGTTAAAATTGCAACCAAAAATAAAAAATATTTAAGGGCTAGTGCAAATTTCGATTTACAGTATCAATCTAGATACACTTGATACTATATAATATTTTCAATTAAAGATAGGCTTTTTGAGTTCTATTATACTTTGAATTTTAAAATTTCATCAAAATTTGACGTAATTTATCAATAATCGAAAATATTGCAAAAGCTTTAAATAATTAAGTAAAAATGCAAAATAGGGAATATTAAAATAACAGCAAACAAAGGCTATATCATCATATGCTTACTACGGAGCATATTAGTAAAGTATAATTGAAAACGTACAATGATTTTTATTAAGATAAAAAAACATGTATATTTCTCTCGAAATAATCCTACTCCAGAAAACA